TCCTACCGAATACAGCCTCTAGAGGGATGATCCTAACTCCCACAGCACCTAACAAAAAGCTTTAACATATGCTCAAACATCTGCTGAATTCAGTTAATGTATGGGTACAGCTTAAACCATAAAGCAAGACACAAATCTAAGATACAAAAAGAAAATATTTCTCCCTCCTATGGAACATGAAGACAAGGCTCACTGCTGAAAAGCTTTCAGGTAACAGGACAAAAGGGGCCCCGTATTAGTTTTGCGAAGAACACTTTCCAGAATACCCTTCAACATATGCTCAGGGGCAAGCTGCCAATGAGGAACTGTCAAAAAGCTCACGTGTCCCTCCTGGTTAGGTTACGATCACATGCTTACAGCTGACTGGAGAAAGTGGGTAAGAATATTTCTGTGAAATTTAAAAAGGCCATCACAAGAGTGGGCTACCTGCTGACTATTTCCCCCCAATAATGTAAAATAGAAACAAAAATCCTATACAGTTTAAACGGATTCTCTCTGAAATTGCAATATCGCAGAGTAACAAGTCTTATGTAAGTCACAGATATGTAGTAAGGGACTTCAATGATGCAATCACAAGAAATACTGATTATAGCCAAACTTATCTAGCATATTCAACACATCTATAACATACTGAATGATCCAAAATAATTCTAGAATTAACAGCTGTTATAAACGAACAGAATAAAAGGTAAGTCAGTTTCCCGGGCAACTCCTGAATGAGTTACTTATATGAACATAATATAAATTTGGTAATTTTTATCTAAAAGGTTTTACTACGAAATTTATTATTATAATTTCTGACCAGCCTATACAGTTTAGGAGGCAGGTACAAAATCATCATTAACGATAAAGTTGAACACAAACTATAAGATAAGTACACAGAACAAATATGCATAGCGAATCATTTACTTCCAGCCTCAGAATTACAAAATGGGTAAATTCTAAGATTACGGCTAGTCTAAAGAGAAATGCCTTTCTACAGAACAAACAACCTCTTGGCTCAAATAAAACCGGAAACCTTAACTCTCCCTTTTCCCTTCAACGACACGTCACCAATTCCTTCACTATCCAGGATCATTTACAAGCGCCTGAAACACGCACAGGATTAGACAGGTGAATCCGATATCAGGAAGAATACATAAATTCCTCACTGGAGAATACAGCAAAAGCAGAAATATTAGTTTTGTTTTCAGACCATCTCTAAAATAATTAAAACAGAAACACTGATGCTCTTACCAGCAACTTCATAAACAATCTCTCAGAGATTTCAATTTAGGGCTAAGGTCTGCCTGTTAAATATACGTAGACCGGTTTGTTTCATCAGAGTGCTTAATTATTTGTGAATTTGACTCTAAAAGAAAACAGCATTAAAAGAAACCTTTTATTCCTGGGGAATAAAAACCATCCAAGTCAACAGGCATTTGTAAACCATACTGACACGACCACTCCTGCTGTCTCCTGCCCTCTTGCTTTCACTGACAGGAGTTTCATAATGTGTCATAACTACACTTATTATGGTCAGAATGCTGCAGAAAATATTTAAGCATATTGATATCATGCCAAATCATCTACAAAACATCTTGGCTCCCCGGCCCACAGCTTTAACAGACAAACTGAGTCAAACGGGTGGCAGCTGTTAAAAGACTAAATTAAGGTGAGGGGTTCAAAAGCTGAAACAATGGACTCACTTTTAGAAAGAAGAAAAAGATATAAGATCTTCCCTTATTGTGAGGAAAAGCATGATTTATCACGTAATTCAACTGCTATTTTGTAACTATGTCCAAATAGTTTGTAACATGCAGACAGATGTATCAAATATTAGGTAGTGTCATTGAATAAAAGTTAGGATTTAAGGGTGCAAAGCCAATTCGTCTAGGTCACATCACTGAGGCTCAGGATTTGCACAAGGTCATGTAATTAATAAGAGACAGTGTCAGGATTGAAATTTAGGTGGCTCTGGGGCTCAAGTCTGTGTGTTTATCACCATGTCATACTGTCACTGATAATCTGACATGAACATAACACAGATCATGTCAGTGTTGAACAGGTGGTCAAATTCCTTTTTATTTAAGGGTTAAGATGGAAAATACAAATTACATACTCACATTTAATTGACATTTTAGAACAAAGTGTGAAAATGATGCCATAAAAAGTAACAAAACAACTAGGTTTCATGAGTGAGGAAAGAAATATTTAAAGCGAAAACACTGTTTTTTAATTGTTCAAGCTGTTTTTGCTTTGGGCTAATTTCCACAGACAGATATTAGAAATGCAGCTTTATTTTGGCATCACGAGTTTCATGGCAATAATAGAGAGCACTCTCCGACAAGTTATAAGATTTCAAAGGCTATAACCAACTATTAAAGCAGTTTTAAAGTTCAGGTATTCGTAAACCATTAGACATGTATCCACACTTGACGTGTAAGGAAGGCAACCTTCATCCTGAAAACAACACTAAATATTTAAGTGTCTTTTATCTCAACCTCAAATTTCTGCCTTTGAAATCTCTGGTTTCCTTCAAAGGCCGAAATCTGGGAAGCCAATCCTGGCCCCTGACCTCCTTCTCTTCTCCAAACATATTACATTCCTGGCTGCACTAGTACCCGAGGCAGCGGACCATAGCTCATTCTCCACCTTTGGGTAGGAAGGAGTATTTCTAAAATTTGTTACCGAACAAGTCAGTCAGGACTGAATTGTTTCCTGCAGTACGCCAAACGACCACTTACTCTTCTTTAACTTTTTGAAAGTCTCTAAAACCAAGAGGAGATCGGTGAAAGAATATAAAGCTGAAGGCTGATATCAACACTTGCAGTTTTTTAAACAATCAAGGTAGATTTCTTTAAATTAATTTTATTTATTTATTTTTGAGGAAGATCAACCCTGACCTAACATCTGCTGCCAATCCTCCTCTTTTTGCTGAGGAAGACCGGCCCTGAGCTAACATCCATGCCCATCTTCTTCTACTTTATATGTGGGATGCCTACCACAGCGTGGCTTGCCAAGCGGTGCCATGTCCGTACCCGGGATCCGAACCAGCAAACCTCGGGCCACCAAAGCGGAACGTGTGCACTTAACCACTGCGCCACTGGGCCAGCCCCCAAGGTAGAATTTTTAGCATCCGTTTTAAATGAGTTAAATTTTGGAATAGTAAGTTTCATCTTATTTTCATGGTGCAGAAGCCTGAGACATTTCCTCTGAGAGATGGAGAAAACATTCCGCAAGGAGGAAGAGCTTCTGCAATGAAATGATGACCATACATTGCATTCTCTTAAGCTAAACTTTTCAAGTAGTGACCTGACGAATGAGGATCTTGCACTGAGCCCACCAAAACTGTATTAATGCTTTTTAGACATTAACATACATACATCTGTAATGGATGAGAGCTTAGGATAGAGCATCTATCTAGCTTATTTTTCAGGTTAATAAAAAACTTAAAATCAAGAAAAATCAAAAAGTACGCACAGGAGAGCCAACAACTGACCAGTTCGCAATGACAAATGATTATAAAGTCAAAACACTGAGTTGCTAAGTTATAGGGAAGCTGCTGTTCATCTGGACCTTTGCCCAGAACACAAAAATTTGGAGGAGAAACGCTGGTGGTTCAAAGGGAACACGGGTTCTAAATTTGCTGCCTCATTCTTCTATCTGGCCAGCTAATCTTGACCTCGCAGGAGCTTCCTCTAACACTGTTTCTACTGAAATGGCCATAACCACACTGGAAAATCCAACAGCTCTTATGTGGAAAGGTACAGTTCGAAAAACACATAGGGAGTATATTTAAAGCTGAGATCAGAAATTGTATGTCCTCTAGAACGATCAACCCAAGCTTCTGGCAGAGGAGACAATAAAGCATTTTAAAACCTCTCAAAATCCTTTAAGGAAGATAACCAGAGGGCAAAATTATCTGTATTCTACTAGTTTTATGGCCCTTCTTTTGATAAAAAGCCTTTTTCCCCCCTTCTTCAAAGCCTGAGTTCCTTTAAGAACCACCACTTGCTCGTGGTGCATTTTTTTCCCCCTCAATAAGGCATCTGCACTGCAGATCTCCGCACGAGGGGAGCGTGCCAGCCAGCTCCCACCGGCAGGCAGCCGCGGATACAATGGAAACGAAAAGCGGTCGCAGCTTCCCTCCTAGGCTTTCAGAGATGGGAGGAGAAGGGGGTTCAACCAGCCCCTTTGTCTGAATTGTCTCCCCCTCCCCCCTTTCTGCGGTAAACACCCCCTTTTGTTATACTGCGATCAATAACAGATCACGGGAAACATGGAATCAAAATACGTTGATGGCTTGGCGTGACTCTATTTATTACCTTCTAGAATATAAGCAACTGATTGCATGTCCCCACCCCCACGCCGCGCCAGGGAAGAGCAGACTGTGTTGCAGAGGCAGCCACGGATCCATCTTGAACCAGCAGGAGCTCCCTCCCAAATCTCCCTCGAGCTATTCTCATCACGCCTCCTTCTACCCGGGAGCCTCAGAAAAATCGGGCAGTTAGGGAGTCTAGCCTCAACCAATTCAAGGCAGATAAAAACAGTATAGAAAACGCCTACAATGTTTCCATTAAACTTCCTCATCCTCCCCCAGGGCAGCCAGAAAAATATGTATATTTTTGGAAGCCTACCATGCAGGTCTGATTATGTCGACACCTGTCTGCAAACCTGCAGTGCAACCCTTCCACCAGCATCGGCTCAAAATCTAACTAACCGTTTCTCCCACGACCAATCCGCCCCAATCCTCTCAATCTCCCTAATCCTCCACTAAATCGCCCGGTTCAGCGCACGGCTCCCCCGTACTGCCGTGTTTCCCCACCTGCCGGGGCTCGGCGCGGATGCCCACCCTCCAGACTCTCTCCCCGCCCCCACCAGTTTTCCGCACACCCCGTTATTCCCTCACCGCCTGCACGACCTCACGCTCCCCCCGCCCGGAGCCCGGCTTCCAGCCGCCCGTGCCCGGGGCTGCAGCCTCCCCCGACCCCCCGAGGGCGGGGGCCCCGGCGCCTCACCCGCACAGGAGGAGCCGCAGCTCTTCGCCCCCAGGGCGGGGCAGGCTCCCTGGCTCCCGCCGCCGCCGCCGGCCGCGGAGGGCTCGGCCCCGGAGGACGACGAGGAGACGGACGGGGACTGGGTGGCCGCCGACGGCTCCGCCATGGCTGCGCGAGCAGGAGCGGGAGACGGGTGAAGAGAGACGCGGGGCGGGAGAGAGGGAGGGGAAAGAAGATAATCGGCCAGCAGGCTCTCCGAAGTCGCTTCACACCTCCTGCTCCGAGGACGGACTCCGACAGACTGACCGACTCAGCCGAGCGCAGCGAGAGGGCGGGAGAGCGAGCGCGCAGGCGCACAAAGGGCCCTCGGGCGGGCGGCGGGGGCGGGGGCGGCCGCGTCGAGGCGCCCAGAGACGCAGGGCGCAGGCGCAAGAACTGTCCCTCCGCGCTCCTGCAGGGGAGGCGGGGCAGAGCGGGCGTCACGCAGCGCCCGCGCCAGCGGCGGCGGTGGGCCGCGCCCCTCGGGGACCAGACGCACGGGGCGTGGCCCAAGCACCAGGCCACGCCCACCACTGCGGCCGAAGCGGGAGGGGGGCCTGCGGGTTAACGTTTCCTCACGACTCCTGTGAATGTTTTAGGGTCGGCAGATGATGTGTTTTAACGATAGAAGTTTCTTTTTGCTTCCATTAGCTGGAGACTATCTCTCTCATAAATTCCAGAGCCGATGTCTTCTTTCTGATGCGTTTCCGCCTGTGACTCGTGCAGAGAGAAAACCCCCATGTGGAGGAGACCCCCCACTGCAAGGTGCTGCATGAATTTTTCTGGATGTGTCGTAGTATCTCATCACCATGAGGCAGAGACGGCACGGTCTCCCGTTTGGTAGGTGGAGAAAGATACTGTACAGAATGAAAAGCTATTATTCATTCCAGTCACATTGCAATGCAGCTGCAGAACCTGCTTCATATTCTTATCGCGTTCCTATTCCCAAAGAGGGGTCCACCCTGGGTCTTAAGGTTGTCTTTTACTTTGAATAGACTATCAGGGAAAGAAGACATATCTTGAAGGAAAAAAAGCCGAGCTAATGAGAAAAGCCAGGAGATAACATCCTGCTGTGGTTATAGGGGATGGTAAAATGAGGTATTAAAAATTGAGAATATGACATAAGATACACATAATTGAATTTCATTCGTAGCCTAAAAGGGGTCCTTAGCATAAAATGTATTTGAAAACTATTAATTTGCCTATCCTGAATTTTGTTCATTTTTTGGCTTCTCTTTGGTTGGCTTGAGAAATTCAAAGCCTTCTCTTTACATCAGTCAAAATATTTGAAATGTGCATAATTCTTATAAAAGGGAACATAGCCTGGAAATAATAAAAATGAAGGCCGTAGGTTTTGTTATTGCTAAAGAAGCAATTGATGACCCAAAGGACAATTGCAGAATCAGCAGATCCTGTAAGATGCAGCCTCATGAAGGAGAAGTTAGCCAGCCAGGTGGCCAGAGAGGAAAAGAGATCTGGCCACTGGAAATCTTCTAGAACAGGCAGTGGGCTACATTTGCCTTTGACAGTTTTTAAGGTCAGGTAAAGCCCAGACAGGAAAAAAACTCTTGGCCATTGCAATGCTCTGAAAAAATGCACAGCAGAATATTTCCCAAAATAACTTGGTGGCAAATATCTTATTCTGGCACTTACAAAATCAGGTGATAATGCCGCAGTCTGTCCTTTAGATGGCAAAGGGAAATACAAGCCAATCTGATAACCAAGCCAGTTATCTACTCATTCTGATAAATGCATAAATTTTAAAAATTTACATTATTAGGTGCTGGATAAGGAAATGAAGGATGCGAGTCTCTAACCCTGACAGCAATTGCTGAATCTAGAGACCCTGGCTGGAAAGGAAGCCCATTTCCATGATATGTAGAAGCAGAGAAAAGAAGCTAAAAATCAAGACATGGCGATGTGGTCTTGGTGGTCTTTTCTGACCCTTCAGATTTTTTACATAAGAGGTCTTTGTGCTTGGCCTAATTTCTGAAGCTGCCTTTCTTTCCTGCTCTCTCTTGCTGTATGAGCAAACTTCCCTGAGACTGACTCTTGCCTGGGATGTTCTTTGTGTATGCGATTTGTTCCACAAATATTTACTGATCACCTGCTGTGTGTTTGACACTATCCTGGAAAATCTGGAGAGATCCAAAACATATGTTTGTCCTGTTTTCAATGAGCCTACAAGCTAGTTGGGGCTTAGAATATACTCACATAAAGTTTAAAAATTGCAAATCAAATAGCAACCAAAAACAACCCCAAACAAGACAAAACAATAATGCTTTGATTAGATGGCAAGTGAATTGGATGAATTTAGGAGGGAAGGGAATCACTCTGGAGTTATAGAGGCTTGGGGAGGTTTTGTGAAGAAGCTCAAAGTCAGATAGGAGTTTGGAGGGGTAAGGAGGTCATAAAGGCAGGGGGAATGACGTGCAGCAAATGCAAGGCTGCTTTTGTGCAAGTATACAATAAGACCTCTTTCTGGGCAAACTAGTCACGAAAAAACACTCCTTGCTCCCAGCCTGGCCCATGATACACTTTACTGCCAGCTTGGCTAGCAGAATGTGGCCTAGATTTGATCCCCTCTTGCTCCTCCCCTCCCCAGGCTGCCTTAGCACAACACGTAGATTGCATAGCCCTCTGTGGTGGCTGGAGGCTCAGAAGTGTGGCCGTGTGTAAGGTGTTTTGGATGTGGTTAGCCCAGGTTGGCTAGAGCCAAGGGCGTGAAGTGGGACAAGGGGGAGGTAAATGGGGAAGATAGTTTGGGGCCAGAGTGTAGAGAAGCAGTAATATAGCATAAAGCACCAAGGCTTTGTCTTAAGGCTAATGGGGATTCAGTAAAAGTTTTCAGGCAAGGAAGGGCTCTGATGGGATTTTTTAAATGTTCAGTGGAGCACAGCTGTTTCTCGGGAGTTCTGCTGAGCAATTTTTACTGCTGAGGCACTGAGCTAGGCCTCTTCTTCCTTGTCCTTGTCCTTATAGGACTGGTATTTACACGGCTAATTTCCCACCTCAGCTTCTAGGCCATCCCATTACCCCATTTTTTTCTTGACTTTTAGAAAAAATTTATATATTTTAATTAAAAAAATTTTTTGGGGGGCTGGCCCCGTGGCCCAGTGGTTAAGTTTGTGCACTCTGCTGCAGGCAGCCCAGTGTTTCGTTGGTTCGAATCCTGGGCGCGGACATGGCACTGCTCATCAAACCATGCTGAGGCAGCGTCCCGCATGCCACAACTAGAAGGACCCACAACGAAGAATATACAACTATGTACCGGGGGGCTTTGGGGATAAAAAGGAAAAAAAAAAATTGGGGGGGATATATTCACATCATGTATACATGTTCATAAACGTATATATTCAAAAGTCTATAGACTATAAAGGTTTCTTCTATCACTAACCCCTCTCCACCCACTGGTCTCCCCCTCTACACACACATGGGTAACTACTGTTAGGAGCTTTTTGTGGCAAGTGCGAAGTTGAATATAGCAAATCTATGTCCTCATCCACCTTTTTAACACAAATGATAACATGCTGTACACGCTGTTAGGTATGTTGCTTCCTTTCCTTAATGGGAAATTCTAGCGATCTTTTTTTCTTTCAAGATTTTATTTTTTTCCTTTTTCTCCCCAAAGCCCCCTGGTTCATAGTTGTATATTCTTCGTTGTGGGTCCTTCTAGTTGTGGCATGTGGGACACTGCCTCAGCGTGGCTCGATGAGCAGTGCCATGTCCGCGCCCAGGATTCGAACCAACGAAACACTGGGCCGCCTGCAGCAGAGTGCACAAACTTAACCACTGGGCCACGGGGCCAGCCCCTCTAGCAATCTTTTCTAGTATCTTTTTGAAGCGTTAGACAGCTGTGCTGTTGGCCAAAATAACAATAACGAAGCAGCTTACAGGTCTTGAGCTTTTACTGTGTTAGCATGTTGAGGGCCTGATATTCAACGTCATAACACACTATGAGTCGGGGTTGACTATTTCCTTTGGATAAATGAGGACACCAAGTCATTAACTCATTTTATATATGAGCAAAGTAAGGTCCAGATATTTCAATGATGCCTAGGGATGCCAGGAGTCCAGTCTGTCCCTTCTGAGGGCCCAGACTATGGCTTAAACATGGATCCTACAAGTAGGTGGTAGGAGAGATGGCCGAACTGTGTCCCGGCACAGTCACAGTGGGGGATAATTATGTATTTGGCTGTTTACTCCACAAGACTGTGAGTCTTTGGAGGACAAGAATGTGTCTTACACATCACTGCAGCATTACTGCCTAGCACTGTGCCGGACACGTAACAAATGCCCTATTTTTGGAAAGCTTTGGAACCTGAGTCACCGTGGATGTCACTGCAGAAAACCACTGGGCTATTTTTGCACTTCATAAAATACTTGAGTATCTTTAATATTTATGACTTTGTTTTGCTTTTTCAGAATGAATATGATGATGACCGTTTTTTGAGCACTAACCATGCATCAGTCATAATTGTCACTTACATCTCATTTAACCTACAACAACTCTGTGACTTGAGTATTTGAATCATTTGGCAGATGATGATGAAACGAGTTCAAAGAGGTTAAGTAACTTACCCAAGGTTGCACAGCTAGTGAGCATCAGAGCCAGAATTCAAAGCCAGGTCTGCCTGACCCCAAAGCCAGTGGCCTTCACCATTCAACCATGTCTATATGTCACCTACTTCTGGAAATCACAAGGAAAGCTCAGCCTCTGGTTGTGCCAAGACTCAATTCAGAGTGACGTGCCTGAAGGCAGGCTGTAATCAGCATCATCAATATTTAGCATTTTGAATGTCCACTGTTTTGATGACCCTGGATATTTGAGAAGGAAATAACAACAAAACATGTTTCTTGTTCACAGGGTTTGCTTTCTAAGCTGCGGCTAATCCTAAAGTCTACCTATAATTTGTACTGTGCTGTTCCAAATGCCAAAATCTTCTACAAGGTGTGGGGACAGCTGATGTGCTAACATTGACCTTGATGTTGTATTGAGACAGATGTAACGTCAATATTTGCTGGTCACTTCCTGACAGGATGGATTTCAGTGGATCTCTATTGGGAGCCTTTAAAATAGAACAAGGTATTTTGTTTAAAAGCAAAAATTAGGTACTTAATATTAAAGGAACAAGAAAGTGAGTGAGTGGTGTTAGGTGTATCATATGCTTGCTTTATTCATCCATTCAATAAATATTAATAAATATAGCAGTAAAGAGAAACAGACAAAAATTCCTGTCCATTTGGAACTTACATTCTAGTGGGAAAAGACAGACAAAAAAACCTCATAAAACGTAAGTCAGACGGTAAGAAGTCTTTTGGAGATGGATGGTGAAGAGCAATAGAGAAGGCTGCGACGTGTGTGCAATTTTAAATTCTTACACTGTGTTGTAATTGTGACAAGTCATGGCCTTTGGCCCCTTTCTCTTTCTGAGCATGCCACATAATGCCCTGGATTTGTGTCGCATCCTGTAGGTCCTGCCTTCTCCACACCCAGTGTGAAACCCTAGGAACCATTTGCTCTGATGTTCATGTCTAGTTTCTTGCACCCCCGAGTTGGTCTAATCGAGACTCAAATCTCAAGTCAAGGGTATTCAAATAGCCTTGAAAGTTTGGGGAGAATCAGAAGGGGCAGGGGAAGAGAAATCAAAACAGGACCTCTTTAGGTAAGATTAGGTAGAATTACCTTTACTCTTCACCTCTGGCCTAATCACTCAGTAAGTTAAAAACAGCTCAAGAGCTCGGCAGGGCTGGAGGCAGCTGGAAGGAGGTTCTGGGTAGGTTGTAATAGTTAAGGCAGAGGCAGAAAAAAGAAAGTGAAATAATTTGTTGAATGAATGAGGCAATGATGATGCCAGGAGGTGGTGGTGGTGGTGGGAAGAATGTGTTAGCCTCCCATAAGCTCCACAGCTACTTACCCTACCCCCGAGACGACTTGCCCCACCTCAACAAGTCCAAAATAACAATATTCTTCAATTGTGGCAACTGACATTTTCTCCATCACATGTGAAGTGTGAATAAAAGCATTTTCAGAGAACCTTGTTTTGTATTCATCTACAGCCTTCCGAACGAGGTGTGGAAACCCGAGGTTTACAAAAGACTGCCATGGCTGAGGCGGACAAACCGGTGGAAGAGGTTTCACGGGACGTTCTCAGGTGGGGTATCAGAGGGGTGTTGGCGCACCCTCAGCTTGGCCAGGGACGGGACTGCGAGGGGCAGCTGCCGATGGCGGTAATAGTCACGGCCTCCCCTCCTTGTGAAGTCAAAATCGTTAAAAACCAGTGACGTTCTTCAGGGTTGAGGCCTCCCTTCGGTGCTTAAGGCAGAGCTCCCCCCACCGATGGCCCCGGCCAGCGTTAAACATCGAAACTGTCTCAAACGCGGCCAGTAAGAGCTGGAAGCCGGTTACCCCAAAGCCTCGGCCGCGGCCCCACCCGGTCTCAAGACGAGGCTCCGGGCCGGGCTAGCTAGCCGTCCCGGGTCCTGGCCGGCCCAGCCCTCACGCACGGCCTGCTGGGAGTTGTAGTTCGGTAGTCGAGGAGCCGAGCCCAGCCCCATCCCTCTCTTCCGCTTCCTCCTCGCCCCGGGTGAGCGCGCAGGGGACCGCGGGCGGGAACCCAGAGAGCGTGGGACTACAATTCCCAACGGACCGTCGCGCCCAGTGCGCAGCTCCAGGTAGCCGGCGGCGCGCTTCGCGCTCCCGCGCACGCGCACTCGTGTTGGGCGGTGGCGGGATTCGGCAGCGTGCGCTTTCCCGCCCCGGCCCGCCCCGCGCTCGCCTTGGGCCGCCGGTCGCGCCTCGGGGACCCGCCCTGTGCTGGCTGCTTTGCGGTTCCGCGGGCCCCTCCTTTTCCCCAGTTTCTTCTAGAGCCCAGGCCCCGCCCGTTTCCCTCCTCAGGGCCTGGTCCGTTCCCGCCCCATCCCGGCCCTCGCTGCGCCCCTGCTGCTTCTGCTGAAGGCGGAGGCTCCATGTTGTCCCCTCAGCGAGCGGTAGCGGCTGCCTCGGGAGGAGCAGGTGAGGCGCCCAATTTTCCCCGGGCCCGCTCCGTGGCCACTCGCCGCCCTCCCTGCTGTCGCTCCGAGGAGCCCGCCTGCTCGCGCCGGGGGTAGGGTCAGGGTCCGGGACTGGGGCCGCGCCCCTCGCCGGGGTCCCTCGGCCCGCGAATTCGGCCGGTCGGGCGCGGGCGGCGCCTTCGGGGGTCGGGCCCTGCGCCCGGGGGAGGCCGCTCGTGCTCGCGCTGCCGCCTGGCACCCCCGGGGCGGTCCCGGGGCCAGTGGCCGGGGGGCGGCGTCCAGAGGCTTCGACCCCGCCCTGGGCAGCGCCGGGCGCCCCGGGGCTACTGCCCCCTCCCGGCCCGGGGCCTGCGGCCGGGGTCTCTGACCGTGTTCGCGGGCGAGGGGGCGGGAAGGTGGCCGCTTTATTGTTCGGCCGCTTGGAAAGCCCTGGAGGGCTGCACGGTGTCTCGAGTTGGAAGCTTCGTTCTTAGCCTCACGACCTTGAGGCGGTGACAACAAGTGTTCGGAGAGTTTATTTCCAGCCCACACTTATCTCCTTCAAGGAGATGCAAGAATGTGGCCTGAACTGGTTTTATAGGCAGTTCTTTGAGTACGTTTGGTACAGTCCGTGGTTCTTTGGCTTTCCTGAAGACAAAAAATAGGGAAAGTATGAATTAAGCACCAATCGTCGCCATACAGTCTGGGAGACGACTTCATCTGTCCTTTTACCTTCTCTCGTTTGATGGGTGTGCTGTGGAAGTGGGCAGAAGTTCACTTGCGAAATCTAAAGGCAAAAAAAAAAAAAAGGGGGGAAACGTTGTTTGAAGAATCTTTTAATAAAAAAATCCAGCCCTGAAATTTGAATACGAAGTTGGGTGGAATGTTTTGTGAAAGGAAGGAGAGAACTAACGGCCCCGGACCGTGATTGCACATTTTGGCTTGCTTTGGGAGACGCGAGACCCACGTAGCTTTAATCCTTGTCGAGTATTCAGCATTGCAGCGTGCTGAAGTTCAAATGAGGGCTTTTTTTCACTCCCCGCAGAAACTAGCTTCTGGTCTAGAAATCCGTGTTGCTGCTCGGACACCTGTAAAGGAAACGCTTGGCTGAATCCACATAATGTAGCGTTACATTAGTGCAGCTTGTTGTACCAGCTGCGGTTTACTGTCTCGTTGGGGTAATCATGAAATTAACAATAGAGGATAAATACCTTGTGTGTTAGCATAATTTTCTTAGTTTTCGCTAAAGAGGACTTGCTTAGAATAGGCTTTTTATAAAAATTAGTTTTCTAGGCTGTCCCAGATGCTTTTTTCCTCTTTATAATTTCTAAATCATAGAATAAGGAATGTGCTCACTAATTATGTAAAATGAGATGATAGAGAATTTTAAGAGGCAAGAAATATAAAGATCTCTCTGTCTCCCCAGGTCCCCAGTGGTAGTAGTTATTAAGTTTGGTCACCTATTCCTTTAAGTTTTCTAGCTGGTACCTTAGGGAACCCTAGGTCTGGTGAACCCGTCTGAGAACTGGTTTAGAATTTGCCTATGATGACTAGGCATGCCTGTGAAAGTTTCTATCGCCTTGTGTTTCATATTGAGAAATCGTTCAGGTAACACGACTACTTTTTAAAGTTAATCTGAATTTTAAAACGTCTTCCTGAGTTATCTGTGAGGTTTAGGAGGACATTTTCTAAAAAACATCAAGGGGGGAAAAGGTGAGGGGAAAGCTTTTATTTAAAAGAATATTTTAGTTGCTGTAGAGCTGTGCTTCTCAGCCCTGCAGCATATTAGAATAACCTGGAGTTTTTAAAACCTGCCAATGCCTGGGATCCACTCACACATTGTGATTTAATTCATTGGGGGACCAGGCAACAGTTAAAAAAAAAAAAAGCCCAAGTAATTCTAATTTGCATATTAATATGTAATCAAATTTCCCAATAGGTGGTTGCTTACATTTGAGTTGATTTGTTACTTTATGGAAAGTGTAGTTTGTAATATCAATATTGATATTGAAAAGTTGCTCTTCTGTTTAAATTTCTGAAAAGATGCTTTTTACTGGTATGCATTTCGATTGTCAGAACATGTTAGATATATTTCACAGCTAAAGTATATTACAAATTAGGAAATAGGCTTTGCTGATATAGAAGATGAATAAGCAAACAGGAGTAGATTAACTCTTTTTATGCCTTGAAATGATAAGGAATTCAAGTCAAATAAACGTTGCCAATTAAGAAAGCCTTATTCAACTAGAACACAGATGATTAAATCAGGTAACCAGATTGATTTTGGTGGTGGTCTCATTTTTAGGGAAGAATCAAATAAGATGCATATTGAACTCATTCAATTAAAAAGATTTTGTTTCCCTGTTGTATAGCCTGGCATTATTTTTAGATTCAGCCTGGTCTCTGCATTTCTGAATCTTCAATACTGTTTAGGCATAATCTTCATAAAGCCTTGAAGCACAACAATCCTTTTTTTCAAATCCTTTTCAATCCTTAATTGACAAAAAGTGGTTTTGTTTAGCATTCTGGACTAAAGTACAAAGATTTTCTACAGATGGATTGAGAAAAAGCTTCCTCTTAAACCCTTTAGTTAATTAGAATGTAAATTTCCCCCAATATTCTGTTTAATTGGGTTTAACTAGTATTTTCCCTGAAATAATCTTAAAAATATATGTGTATCTCCCAGCACACTTACTACGTTAAGAAAATGTAGAGTATATAAAAGCACTCCCCCCATCACCAAAAAGGAACCACACCCAGCAGTTCTGGAGTTGGCCGAGGCCTTAGAGCACTTACCCTCGCATATGATGTGTTTTCTCTGGCCTTGTCTGTGAATTAGCAACTTTAGCCTGCCAGCGAGAACAAGGCATGAAAATGTTATGCTTCTGCTTTCGGGTGTGTTGCTCTTGCCCTTTAGAGAACGTGGTATTTCCAGAGGAGACTGGAAAACTCAGGTCATAACTTTACCCTGAGTCATGCACTCTTCTCAGTGAAATGTTCCTATAACTGTAGTTAATTTGCTGTTCAGTATTCTCTGGACAGTAAGGATGAGCACTGAGCCTGGCTCTACCCCAGTGGTTCTTAACTCAGGGCGATTTTACTCTGGTGGGACATTTAGCGATGTCTGGAGACATTTTTGGCTCTCACAACTAGGGGGGAGCGCTACTGGTATCTGGTGGGCAGAGGCCAGAGATGCTGCTAAATATCCTACAGTGAATAGGATAGCTCCCAAACAAAGTGTTACCAGCCCAAAATATCAGTAGCACCGAGGTTAAGAAATCTTGGTCTACACTGTCGAATTGATCAACTAAATTCTGTATGAATTTTCTGCAATAGCAATTGTAACTGCTTCCAATTGACTGGTTTCATTGAATTTATCACTGTTCAGGTGGTCTCAAATATTTGAGGGGCATTAAAACTTTTTTCCCCATAATGCTTTCCTGACAGAACTTATTTCTTAGAATTTATGTTTTCCATAGGACTGAAAAAGCCAATCATGATTCAGTAGTCTCATCTACTTTTATTTAACCTGTGCAGCTACTTTTTTTCTAAGTCCTTTAAAAATTCAGTTAGATAGTTCTAGAAAAAGTGCTGTCATTTGCACAGATCTCTACAAATTGTTCCTTATAATTAATTTTACCTGTTAGTCTTTCAGCTTCGTTCTACTTGTTGTTTTTGTCATTTTAGTGCAGCGCTAGTCTTTTGAATGCAGTTATTTCAGAGATTATTTGAACAGGCATATTTAAACCTATTGGTTAGTCTGCATTAAGGTGTGTTGTGCCAAAAGTAAAGGATAAATCAGTACTTTAAAGGTAATTAGCAAAAAGGTAGTAGCTTCCACATAAACTATTGGAGTACTTTTTAGTTATCCAAATATTTTTCAACCTACTTAAAATGATGAGTGATACAGTATTACCATGAGCTATTTATGGCAATAATCAGAATTATACAGTATTTCTACCACTCACCTTCTTTTTTTAAACATAGGTTTTAAGTTCACTTACATGTATATGGATGACGGATGTGACATGGTCAGGCTGTGTCTTTGTATGCGTACAAAATTGTCCCATCTCACAGTTACTCATATAAGTGAATGTAATATAGCATTGACTCTTCATATAAATGAACGTTAACTGTTCCTATAAGTGAGCATTACTGTTGTTGTCTCAGAGTGCATATCTAGACCTTGGAAAATAATTACTTTGCTAAAGGGAAAAGGCATATAAGGTTGCTACTTCAAGGTTTTTCTAGTACCATCCCTGGAGGTTAGATCGCCAGAGTTTAAGATCCTGAGAAGTGGGAGTAATTTCACTGCAATTAGGGGAACTTCCCTGAAAAAAAAACCCCAAAACAAAACCCCAAACCCCAAAATCTTTTGTGTGGATCCTTACTGAGCAAGTTGCTTTAATGTTTTTATCATCATAAATTTTGTTCTTTAGCCAGGCCTGTACCACTTAAATTAAGCCAAGGGATGAATAGGTTACCTAGCAAGTTTAGCAATTTAGAGATCCAGGAAATTTTTCATTGTTCAAGAGTCATTGAATTTTAGAAGCAGAAAATAGCTTCACCTAACTGCCTGAGTTTGTAGAGGAAA